TGCCCTCATCAGCATCAGCACACTCCACTCTCTCTCCAACACCTCCACCGAGGATTCTACTCCTCTCCTTTTCATTTTCCGTCGCGTTCACACTTGTTACGTAATTATCAGGCCATTCACTCTGCCCCATGAAAGCAAAGATACACTCTGCTTCCATTGAAGGCTCGGTTAACTGTGGCAGCCCGATAGGGACCAACCCAGTTGTAGTTGGCGGGCTGCCTAGTTTAAATGACGTTCTTGAACGACGGCCTTGAGCTCTGGCGGGAGTTCCTCCTTCGTGCCTTTAGTGCGCACGAATTTGGCAAGGTCTTGGAAGTTGCGGAAACGTTCGCATTGTCCAGCATCGTGGAGCTGCTTGCAGAACTTGCATCGCTTGTTACAGTAGTGGGCGGAGTGACTCATGCCACCGCACACCGCGCATGGTCCGTACTGTGGGCGTCGGTTGTCGCGGTTGAAGTCACGTCGACCGCGTTGGTCCTGATTAAACCCACGGTCACTACTTCGGCGATCTTGATTGAAGCCATTCTCGCGATCAGGCGTGTTTCCACGCGGTTGACGGTTGTCCGAACGTGCGTAGGTGCCTTCAGCAGCTGCACGGCGCTCGTTTTCGTTAGCAGCAGCGAGGTATCGGTCGTTTTCATCCAATGAGAAATCGCCATCCGTATTATTGGGCTGAAAGTCGTTGTACTCATCTTGGAAATTGTCGTAAGCGTTCGGATCTTCGTTTGAATACTCGTTGCCTCCTTGAGCAGCTTCACGACCTTCTAATTCAGCTAGTAGGTCGTCCACCGTAGCTTCAATGAGTGTCACTCTTGGTTTGTTGCGGTTGTCATCGCGACGACGGTCATCACGCCGGTTGTTGCGGGCGTACCCATCGTCGCGTCGCGTATCACGACTCTTAGAGTATCGGTACTCACTGTCACGCTTGGCCATTCTCTCCTTGCCCTTGAGAACATCTTCGACGATCTCTTCGAGCTCGTGAATGTCGGCGACTCGAGCGTGGTAGAGACTCTCCGCTAGTTTGTCATCGTCGCATGTTGCCAGGAACTGCTGTACGTGTTCTTTCGCGTCGCGACCACTCTTCTCAAAGTGTAGACGGGCGGTCCGAGCGTAGCCGTTCAGCCTGTTTATGTAGTCGCACAGATGTTCATTTCGTTCCCGCTTGGCGGAGTAGTAACGCGACAGTGCCGTCTGCGTGAGCTGCGAGCAGTAGTAGCGGATGAACGCATCGCTCAGCAGCTTCCACTTGCGCTTCGTCTTCTTCGGAAGTTGACGGAACCAATGAATGGCTCCGTCCCGGAGACTTAGCTCAAATGGAATGCACCATTTATCGGCATCTGTGCGGGTTCCAGTCATTTCATAGACGAACCCACGGAGCCACTGCATACAGTTCTCGCTCTTGTTGCGAGAGCCTGAGAACGGCGTGATGCGATCCAGCGGTCGGTGCGAAGCCATTTCAATCCTCGGTGTTGGGTCCACGTCGTTCAGCGTCGCTAGCTCATTCATCTGGCGCATCAACTCGAGTTGAGGATCTTCCTCGTCGAATGTACGCACCAAAATGTCATCGTCACTGGACGAACCATCGCTGTCGACTTGACGACGTCCGGCACCACCTTTGGGAGCTCGCGCACCGCCTCGGCGACCAAACGAATCCTCGTTACTTGCGTAAATACGTAGCATACGGCTCTCCGAACGTGGCGTAACCATGTGTGAGTCTTGAAAGTACGGTGAAGCTTCGGTAGTGCCAAAGGCACCACGCTCAGCTCCACGCTTGGTCGGAGGAGTACGAACGAGTCGTTGGGGCGTCGGCGGCAGTGGAATCTTAGACGGATCTTCATCTTGAATCATCGGTCGACTCACAGGCTGCTTTCCGGCATTGATGCCAACGGCGCCAAACGCCTTCCGAAGCTTCTTCTTCCATTTCTGGAGAGCAGCTCCGGCTTCATGTGGACTCCAATCCTGGAGCGACATCGTCGATGGGTACGTCTCGTTCTCGAACCCCAGCGACAACAGTAGCGAGACTGAATCCTCGGCAACTTGACTAGTCGAAACCGAGTTGACTGGGTATTGAAGTTCCTGCGCAAGCGCAGGCCAGTCGGCCTTTTTCTTGGGGATGGGCTTGAACAGCTGCATCCACTCATCATTCTGCATCAGCGCTTGTACGCGGTCGAAAACGCGCTTGGCGGCTGGTGTATCACCGTTGATAGGTGGGCGAGGTGCCTTCAGCAGTGCTGAATGCTTTACACTCGCCACTGAAGGTTTAGAACCCTCGATCCCATCGTCATAATCATCATAGGCCGGTTCCGGTCCCGCAACATCATCGAGCTCGTCGGCGAGGTTCCTCGAAAGGGACTTGGTCGCCCCGCTCAGTCCCGATGATAGCGTGGCCGTCTCCGGCGTCGCTGCGCCTGGCTCTGGAGCCGGCGTCTTATCTTCGTAATCTTCATAATCGTGGGCGTCAGGACCGATGTCCGCTTCGTCGTCGAAGCTCACTGAAAGCTCGGTGGCGGCTGCAAAGCGCGCAGCCGGGCTTGAACTCTCGTTGCGAGCCCCGCCAGACTTGGCAGGCTGGTACCGTCGGTTGTCCTTTCGCCATGTTTCTTGTCTTTTTCTTGTTCTTCTTCTCTTGGTAGCTCGTAAACTGGAAGGCCATACAAACAGTTCACAATGGTCACAATCTGTTCCCGGGTCGCGGCACCAGTTGTGGTGTTGGAAATCCCACGTGAACTCTAGCTACAGATGTAGTTAGGATGTTCCCACAACAATACGTCTACTAGGATAGTAAACGATCGTTCGGGCGGACCTGAAGACCCCAGTTCTGCCCTTGCACCGGGACAAACTGGACCTTGTAAGCTACTTATATAGGCCAACCAGTAAAATAAGAACACGCTACTAGCACGAGCAAAGCTAGCAGGTGTTTTGAATCCTCGTGGTCCCAACAGCGGAAGGGTACCAGGCACGGGTAAGCCTTTTACGAGATCACCGAGTGTTCAACACTCGGCTGGAAGAAATAAAAGGGAGGCAATTCAAGCACTCCCAGTCGTGCAAATAGGCAACAATAAGCCGTCACGTAAAACCTCCCGATAATAATCGGCCAATACACAAAGTCTCTTGGCCTTGCCGGATGAACCCTCGCTACAGAGCTTCGAGTTCACCGACAGGCCTAACACACTCAAACAAGCTTGACCTGACGCTTACCTTGAAGCCGGACGTCGCTCTGTGTGCTTGAGTGGAAATTCTGTTCTGTATTTAAGCTTACCCTTTCGGGTCTATTCCTAATAAGAAGTCCTAATCAAGTATACAAATATCAAATGAACAATGATCCGTTATGGATCTTCTTGCATGCCAAGCGTCGTCTGCACTGTCGCATGAGCATCTTTAACGGTCCGCGCCCTGTCCCAGACGGTGAACGTGTCTTCCAAAGGTCGCTGAGTATTCCGCGAACTCATCCCAACCGCCGCTGAGGGTTCGTACCGTAGATGGTCCGCTGAATGCGAATCCGGCCAGTCCATTATTAATAATAAGGACAGCCTGGATTCAGTGACATAGGGCCGTATCCGATACTTTTTGAAAACTCGGAGGTGACGCCGTCGAGTCCCTTGCACCTTGGCGTCTCCGTACATCACCCGACCGAGGGTTCGTCGCTTGAACAACTTGGGCGGTGTCACGTCTTTGTCGACGGGTGATAATCCGCAACCACGGAGAAATCACTACACCACATGTACCTACCAGTACACGACTCGATTGCTATGTGGATACCAGCTGGGCGAGGGGACGGCTATGTGCGTTTGGACTCCAAGAAGTACCATAATTGGTATGTGCTGGCTTATGAAGGCTGCAGAGACCGCGAGATGTTCCAGCGGGAGTGTGAGCTCGGCCTTGCGTGCCGCCAAATTTGCGAACAAATCATCGGTGGTTGGTCCAGAGGATGCAGACGTTGCACTTAAGGTGATGAACACGGCACCGAGTGTTCGTTTCGAGACTGGAGCAAATGCCGGACTGCCAAGACAACGGTCACCCGAGTCAAAGAACAGAAGTCACCAACTCAGTATGTCGGCCACCAACGCTTCCAATATCGCGAACAAAGACTCGGCAGTTGGTCCAGAGATGAAAAACCAGGCGGTGAATGAGATGGACCCAGTACCGAGTGCTCAAATCGAAACGGATACAGACGCTGAGTCGACGGAAGAGGCCGTCGCGACTTTGGACGAGACATATGTGGTGAAGTAGAGCACACAAATACCGTCAGATGTGGATTCCTTACACAAACCACAACAAATCGCCGAGTTAGGTCGGCGCTTGTATGGCCTTCGCAGAGGGTGGTCACCTCGCGGTTCGGCCCTGCCGGGACAGACGAGTGGCTCGCTTCCACTGGGTTCCGATTAACCAAGTCAGAGCACTTCCGAGGCTCCGCCGAGTTTGGATCGGCAGAGCTCGTTCATAAAAACCTGTGCCCTTCACCAAACAGTGGACGACGGCGCGCGAGCACGTTTAGAGGTCACCGAGCGCAGAGGCTGCTCAGCTAGAAGTGTCACGGCACCCGGGCTATCCGACGTACCGGCGCTAAGTTCGCGTGGCTTTCTTTCGCGCGTATCGAGACTTTTGTCCTACCCGGACCGACCTACCTTGCGCGGTTGTAGCAATAGTTTGTTTATTTAGTTCTTTGTCAACATCAACGCAGCGTCCACACTGGACCCTTAACGCGTATGACAAGTTGTCTCCTTTACAAATCTCCAGTCAGATCATTTTAAACAGGTGTTAAAATTTTAAATGTTTTTGTATTATTTGGATGGCCGACCACTTGGTAAAAAAACTGTTTTTACCTGATGAAGTCGCATTCCCACCTTTTTGGAGTAGCAAGCCTCGAATTATCGATTCGAAATGATGATTTAATAGGGCCGTTCATTTGAAATGCGTTAAAATTATGGAACACACACCCGAAATAGTTCACTACTACTGGAACGTACCGGTAGTATTATGAGCTGGATAACTTAACCCTCATCGTAAGGAAACACGCCACTTTTATTCGATTAAGCTCCTACACAAAGGATCATCAACTATCTAAGCCAGATTGTTTGATTTACTTTTGATCCCTAGATAGATCCATCTTAGTCGACACAAAGCCCATGAGCGCTACTGAAGTCGAGAACATGGCCACACGCGGTGCAATAAGTGGCCCCGCGATGCTAAAAAAATCACGGAAACTCCACTTTGTCACGTTCTTTGGGACCTCGTACGTGAGCAAATGTGATAGATAGCGATTGAGAACTCGCCCTTGAACAGAGTACGCTGCGACGGCTGTGATACCGCCCGTTGCGAGGCTGCTCGCGCTCTTGCGCGGGGCCTCGCTCACCGAAGAAGGCAGCGCCAATGCCGTACCGAGTTGGTACATGCCGTAGCCCGTGGCTGCACCTGTGCCCACCGTGCCGATGATGAAGAGAGGAAGAACCATCTATGCTGCTTGGCACAACACTCGCTGCTTGGCTTGTGTGGTGGACTCAAATGATGGAATTTTCCTTTCAAAACGGGCAGCTTAATTTCCAAAAATCTATGCTCCAACCTAAAAACCATAATTAGTCATGCCATGACTATGACTAATTAGAGTGAACGGATGATGTCGCACTTAACCCGTGTCAAAGATTGGAAGGACGGATGCCATGACGGTAACATAGTTACACGAAGTGTCACCTCGTACGACTTTGGTTGGCCATCGACGACCGGATCTAAAAACTGTTGCTGATTGCTACAGCTCACTATTTTTCATTTGGGAAAGCGCTGGTTTGGCGTTAGTGATGCGAGCGAGGTTCCGATGATTACAGTAGCTAAAGACAAGTTGATTGCCAAGTCTCCGGACGATGCTGACGACACTTGCTATTATTCGCTAGACAGTATATGAAGGAACACCCAACACCCGTAATTGCAGCACAGTATGAGACCGACTGTATCTAGTGGTAAAGTATCGCTGTATTTAGGATGGTCAAAAGCAAATTTACATGTGCGACTAGTGTACGTACTGTAACCACAACGCAGGCACAGTGCCACATGTAGCGTTAGGGAGGGCTACATTAGCCGCTACTGTTTTTTTAACAGCGCTCTTCACGCGATTTCCAATTGAGCATTCCTGTGGTTGCTCGTTAACACTCCAAATCCTTTATTTTCGCTAGCTAAATCAATATCGTTTTTACGAGATATAATATATCACATCTAGCATCCCCACACACACTTAGCGTTTAAAATAGATATCCGTATAGATTTTGCAAGTCTCCCCTGTCCCGCATCTTTGCCAGCCATTTCCGCATCCTTCGAGTTCTGCAAACATGGCTGACTCTGCCCCCACGCCCGACGCTGCGGCCCCTCCGGCCCCCGTTAAGATGAGCAAGAACGCCATGAAGAAGGCTCTTCGGGCCGAGAAGAACGGCGGCGCTGTAAAAAAGGAGAAAGATCCCAACCGTTGGGCTCCCAAGAGCGACAAGAAGAAAAAGAAAGAGGAGAAAGAGGCCCCTAAGGCCCCCGCTTTCGTGAACCGCACGCCCAAGGGCGACAAGAAGGACATGACTGAGCCCATGTTGGCTGCCTACAACCCCGTGGCCGTCGAGGCTGCGTGGCAGGACTGGTGGGAGGCTGCCGGCTTCTTCTCGTGCTCGGACGACAAGATCTCCAAAGCGAAGCCTGACGAGCGCTTCGTCATGGTCATCCCTCCGCCCAACGTCACGGGCTCGTTGCATCTGGGCCACGCACTCACTGTAGCCATCCAAGACGCGCTGACTCGCTGGCACCGCATGCTTGGACACGCCACTTTGTGGGTCCCTGGCACGGACCACGCCGGTATCGCCACTCAATCGGTCGTGGAGAAGCGACTGCTGAAGGAAGAAGGCAAGAGCCGCCACCATCTGGGCCGCGAGAAGTTCCTGGAGCGCGTGTGGGACTGGAAGAACCAGTACGAGAGCCGCATCCACCACCAGTTCCGCAGCGTCGGTTGCTCCGTGGATTGGGAGCGTCAATACTTCAGTATGGACGACAATTGCAGTCGCGCTGTGCGTCACGCCTTCTGCCAGTTGTGGGAGGAAGGTCTGATCTACCGAGCCACGCGGATGATCAACTGGAGCTGCAAGCTGAAGACGGCTTTGTCCGAGATTGAAGTGGACTACATCGACATTGAGAAGCGCACGAAATTGGCTGTTCCTGGCCACAATCCGGAGCGTAAATACGAGTTCGGAGTGCTGACATCGTTCGGATACAAAGTGGAAGGCTCGGACGAGCAGGTGTTCGTCGCGACGACTCGTCTGGAGACCATGTTGGGTGATTCGGGCGTGGCTGTCCACCCAGAGGACGCGCGATACAAGCATCTGCACGGAAAGCACGTGATCCACCCGTTCAACGGCCGTCGGATCCCCATCGTACTGGATCCAGTGCTGGTGGACATGAGTTTCGGTACGGGAGCGGTGAAGATCACGCCTGCCCACGACCCGAACGATTACGAGTGTGGCAAGCGCAACAATCTCGAGTTTATCAACGTTTTGACGGATGATGGTGCTATCAACGAGAATGGCGGTGAATTCGCCGGTATGATGCGCTATGACGCCCGTATCGCCGTCGAGAAGGCGCTGGAGGCCAAGGGACTGTACCATGGCAAGCAGGACAACAAGATGCGGCTCGGTATTTGCTCCCGTTCGGGTGACATCATTGAGCCGCTCGTCAAGCCTCAGTGGTTCGTCAACTGCGACCAGATGGCCAAGGACGCGATGGCTGCTGTGACGAACAAGGAGCTCAAGATCGTGCCCGAGTCGCACGAGAAGACGTGGTTCCGCTGGCTCGAGAACATCCGCGATTGGTGCATCTCTCGTCAGCTGTGGTGGGGTCACCGGATCCCTGCGTACTTTGCTCGCGTGAAGGACGAGGCGTTCGTTGACAAGAACGCAGAGGATGCTGGTGGCCGCTGGTTCGCTGGTATCTCGGAGGAAGACGCGCGTAAGAAGGCGGCGACTAAGCTCGACGTTTCCGAGGACAAGATCGAGCTGGAACAGGATGAAGATGTACTGGACACGTGGGTGAGTGCTGGTCTGTTCCCCTTCGCTGTGTTTGGCTGGCCCAACAAGACTGACGACTTCGAGAACTTCTTCCCGACGGACCTGCTGGAGACGGGCTACGACATTTTGTTCTTCTGGGTGGCGCGTATGGTGTTCATGGGTCAGAAACTGACGGGTAAACTGCCCTTCAAAACCATCTACTTGCACTCGATGGTGCGTGACAAGTACGGCCGCAAGATGTCCAAGAGTCTGGGTAACGTGGTGGACCCGCTGGAGATTATTGCCGGCTGTACGCTGGAGGATCTGTTCAAGAAGCTCGAGAGCGGCAACTTGCCAGCGAAGGAGGTGGAGAAGGCCAAGAAGGGACAGAAACTCGACTTCCCTCAGGGAATCCCAGAGTGCGGAGCTGACGCGCTTCGTTTCGGTCTCCTAGCGTACACGCAGCAGGGTCGCGATATCAACCTGGACATCGGACGCCTTGTGGGCTACCGTAACTTTTGTAACAAGCTGTGGAACGCCGTGCGCTTCGCCATGTCCAACCTCGAAGGAGGCTTCTCGGCTGCTGAGAATGTGGCTGACACGGTGCTGGCCAACGCCGTGGTGAGTTCTCGCGACTGCTACATTCTGAGCCGTCTGAACCACGCCATCAAGGTCTGCAACGACTCGTTCGCTGCCTACGAGTTTGGCGAGCTCACCAATGCGCTGTACAACTTCTGGCTATATGATCTTTGTGACGTGTACCTAGAGCTGACCAAGCCTGTGATCAATGGAGAAGATGCAGAGGCCAAGCTGACGGCGCAACAGACTCTGTACGTGTGTCTGGAGTTCGGTCTGCGTCTGCTGCACCCGAGCATGCCGTTTGTGACGGAGGAACTGTGGCAGCGTCTGCCTGGCAAGCGCTCGACCGCCAGTATCACGATCGCCCCGTACCCGCTCCCGATGGACAACTGGACGAACCCGGAGGTGGAGGCCAAGATGGAACTGGTCAAAGAAGTGATCCACGCGGCCCGCTCCGTGCGTGCTGAGTACGGACTGGCTAATAATGTGCGTCCCCAGTTCTTCATCAAGTGCAGTGACAATGACGTGAAGACTGTGGTGGAGAAGCAGCTGGACGACTTCAGTACGCTGGCCAAGGCTGGTGACTCCAAGTGCATCGTGGACGAGGAGGCACCGCAGGGCTGCGCGATGCACAGTGTCAATGATAAGGTGCAGATCTTCGTGCTACTCGCTGGTCTGGTGGACTTTGCCAACGAAATTGCCAAGCTGGAGAAGAAATTGACGAAGATTGCGCCGTCCTTGGCGAGTTTGGAGAAGAAGATGGGGCATGAGGATTATGAGACGAAGGTGCCCGAGAACGTGCGTGAAGCTGACGCCGCCAAGAAGGTCGCGCTGGAGACGGAAGAGGCCGGTATCCAACGCGCTATCGCTGAGTTCAAGCGTCTGTTATAAGTCAGCGAGTTATAGCAGGTTTGAAGAAGAATAGCAGGATTTACTACTTTAGCATGGACCAGTTTTTACTTTTCTTCTTCTTCGTCGTCGCTAGGGTCGATGATCGCTCCTGGGAGCGCAGCAGCAGTCTGGACTGAGTTGTCGTCATCGGGAAGATTTGCAGCTCTCATCTCGAGCTCTGGCGTGTGTTTCTCCTCCTTTTTGCTCTGTGTCACGTCTCGGGAGTCTTCTCCAACTCGTTCGTCGGTGCCCAGTTCTTGTCCCAGATACGCTTGGAAGTTGCTGAGTCGTGAAAGCATGTCGTCAAGTCTCGAGGAGAAAAAAAGAATTTGTCGATCAAGTTTCTGCTCCAACTCTTCGGCACGTTCGACCAGTCTGAGTGAAGAAGAGCAAACACAACATTACGGCGATTATTAAATCTTCCTCCACAGCTTACAGTACAACCAGTTACTCTTCACACGACCAGCAAACACCATCTGTACCTTGAGGCTTCATCCCTTGATACGCTCATCTCGGCATCTTCATCCACGGACTGTACATGGCCTTGCTCAAGCCCCCACGCTTTCTTCAAGTCCGACAGCTTTTCAGCTTCGTCCGATACAGTAAAAATGTCTCGTGTTGCTTGTTTCAACTTGTTGATTCCTTTTGTTGCCGCAGCTCGAAGTTTCTGCGGGAGAATAATCATCAGCTTAGATGCGTAGGAGAAAAACTAAACGACGTGTACCTTGGCGAACGAGGTTTCTTCTACTCGCATGCCATGCGACTCGAGCCGGTGTTTGGCAAGCTCTAACATGGCTAATCCATCAATTGCAGGAGCCCTCGCTCTCACTCGAGAGGAGTCAAATCGCTCGCGTAGAATTGCCACCACACTATTCTGTAAACAGAATACGTTCTCAGCGATAAATTCAAGACACTTAACGCGTGGTAAAGAGCAACTTTATACCAGGACGACGAAGGACGTGGAGAACTGGAATAGCAAGCGGAAAAGTTGGTGGTCTACACAACCAAACATTGCCATCGAGTGCCACCTCGTCGCTAGAGATGTGGCCATTGTAGCGCTGCAAAGGGAGATCGCAAACAGTGCTTCGACATGAAGAAGGAAAGAGCGAAATCAAGAAATGAACATCGTACATGCCAGCTGAGTAGCTCCGAAAGCTCGAGCGTGCAGACGGAAAGAGAAGTACCCCCGCGTGTGCGAATCCCAGCACGTATACTACAAGTAGCACCGCGAAACTCTGCAATAATGCTTGTGCACGTTCCAGTTTATCAACTGTACTCTCGAGTGCCTTGACACTCTTTGCAAGACGAACAATCCGCCACCACATTAGCACTGCACAGGCTGCCGTAAGATGACGTTCTGTTCGCAAGTAGTGCACGCTCACTCCAAGATCCGCGTACGAGCTATCGGACGTTTCAGCGATCGTCCTTAGCATCGGAAAAGCTGCTTGAGCCACCGATTGCAGACGAAAAACGAGGATCGCAGTCCACAGCATGACAATACAAAAATCCGCGACGTGGCTGGGGATCACAAAGTAGAAGAGTCGGTACTGCCACAGTTTATCCAGTTGCTTGTGGGCAAACCACAGGACGCCCAGCAAAATCCCCAACTCCGTAAGGAACCGCGGATGAACCACGAAGAATCCAGAGTACTGACTCAAGTGGAGCGGTGTAACTTTAGCAGAAGCCACGACTTCACCGCCGCCTCCTTCATCGGATCCTGAAGTTGCCACGCCAAACTCGAACAAGATTTGGACCACACAGTGCAAGTCCAGCGGTGCATTGTACAGATTGAACCGCACAAACAACGCGCGACTCGATTCGTCCAGCCATCGACCACGACGAAGATTGGCAAGTTCACAGCGTGAGTCACAGTCAGTCATAACATTTGCCCCAAGTCGTGGCAGGAACCGCCGGTAGCCACTTCCCGGGTATGTCGCAAGGGTGCCGCGGTAGCTTTCATACTCGTTGCTAGAAGAGCTCCAAGTGTCTTCAAAGAAAGGTAGGCGCGAGACTGGGGATCTGCGCTCTGCACTTTTGGAATAGTACGGGTGACACCACTTCTTGTCATTTCCTTGGTCTGGGAAACCAAAGTGGCACAGTGTGGGGTCAACTCGAAGAAGTCGTAGCTCCACTCCACCGAGAAGCACATTGGTTCGATCCACAATTCCAATCTGGGAATCCACATCATCCGCGAAGCTGTCCCCATTGTACCACGTATCTTGGAAAAGTGCATTCTGTGCTGGTCCCTGTAAGAAACTCCAGACGTCTGCAATGGCATTCACGTCGCGTAGTGTCTTGGTTGTTGTATCAAGTGGCAATCCGCCATTCCAGGGTGTATCCACGATGGCACGCCTTATAGCAGAGACGAGATCATTCGAGTGTTGACCGTAGAGTGCGAAGGATGAGTTGAGCATGAAGCAGAACAAAAGCAAAGCGTACAATGCGATGTCCGTGCGACTTGCTCGTTCACGTCGAGCTAACTCGCGAGGGTCGAATAAAGCACATTTCTGGAAACTGTGTAGCGTACTCTTGATAGCGAGACGAGTGTGGCGATGAGCTGCTCCTGAGTAGGCGAAGAGAGCTACGTAAGCGAGATCCAATACTTTACACTCGTTGATGGTGCGATAGGCTTCTGGGAGAGCCGCAAGTCGAGACAGGAGCTGGAACCCTTCGACCGTGACCTCCTCCGTGTCAAGATGAGACGCCACAGCCTCAACAAGACGGGGAATGCCCGTGAAGTTGAAGATACCGTAGATACACCGAATATCCAGAGCTGCACTGGGAGTGTCAGTACGAGCGAGTGAGCTGTAAAGTAAGCAGAGCATTGCTACAAACTTTTTTCGTGGAGCCCGTTTAGTGTTCCAACCGCATGCCACACGAGCTCTGTGTCTTTCACGTATCGCTTCATTGCTGCCACCGTGAGCGCGATGCCGTTGTTATCGATGAAAGTCGCAGTGATCGGTGCTACAGAATTAGGTCGTCAGAGTTAAAAGCGTCAAGAGCAGGACATTGCACACACCGTTTGTGACTAGAAATCCCAGGGGTATCAGTACAGCTCGACAAATCTGCAGACTGTGGTCGTATCGCCTTATCAGCCCCAGCAGCTCCTGTACCAGATCTGGCGATGACACCGATTCCTTCACGAGATCTATGAAAAAGAAAACAGCTCAGATAAAAACATTTTTTTTTTCACGCTTGACTCAGCGTTTCCTACCGTTCATCACCAAACTACCGAGCGCTCGACAGGCTGAAGTAATGACATTGTGTTTGTTGTCATGGAAACGCACACATTTCATCAAAATCTCTATGGCGTCGTCCGCTGCGAGGAACTCCAGAGCACCATCCACTAAAAGTATACCACACCCAGCAATCGTACAGTGTTATATAATGATAGTCAAGCGAATAAAGTACTTAAATATCATATTTTTTGTAAACCTCACCATGCAACTTCGAGTAGATGTCGATACAGTCAAGCACTGGGACTAGCACGTGCTCATTGTGAACAAATTTGTGCAATGCAAAGACTGCGAGTTGCATGCCGTTGGCACCGATGAAGTCGAAGCCTGGATTATATCCAAAGGCTTGACTGCCACACGCGAAGTAGAAATTGCCCACGTTGGCCAAGGTCTTGAAGCCCGAGAGCACAGCCCACGCGTAGTTAATCTCTCGGCTAATAGATTCACAGATACTGGGCACACCACGAGACTTAAGCAGCGTCAGCAGCTCCTTCTCCGCTGACGAAAAGCCACAACGCGATCAACAACCCGGAACGAAGGCTGCGAGCAACAACGAACAACGTCACACAGTGGGGAGTACTATAGCAGACGAACCTTCCGTCATCTCGACAGTCTTATCCTCGTCGCCATCGACGTCGTTGAGCGGATGGTAAGCTCTCATTGTCGCAAAGCGGCTCTATAATCTACAAACAACCCAAGGGACACACACGTGTATCGGCGATGGGATAATACTACTACGGGGGTGCTCATATTACAATATTAACTCGCCTCAATCAGGCTGCAAAAAAACTGTTTTCTCTCCTTCCTCTCGGAGGTTCCGAGCTCTTTTACTCCGCTCGGTTGCTCGCTTGTTTCTTGTCCTCATTCATTTCGGGGGTCCACTTCCTTGTTGACTGCACTCGTCAATCGCACGCATTTGTCACGCAACACCCAATTACTGGTACAAAAGGGGGCTCCAGCTTCCATCCGCGTCGTAGGTAGATGAGTTTGGTAGATTCCAGAGACTTGTGTGTGTGTGTGTATGTGTTTACAAAAGCCACCTCTTTTCACGCAGTCTATAGCCACACGTTCTGCGCAGGCTCCTCGTCGTCGTACAGACGCGAGCCCATGCTCACACTCTTGGACGCCCCAAAATTGTGGGAAGACGCCGGCTGTGGCGCCAAGCTCGTGGACGTTCCACGGGTGATAATGGGACCCGATCCAGGCGGCCGTGAGCTCATTCGCCGCAAGTTACTGCGCGGGTTGTCTCCGAAATTGATGGTCGTGTGGCGGTCTGCAGCAATAAAAATGTCAATAGAAATACAGTTAGCCCCGATAGAGAGATCTCGAGCACCTCCCGACTTGAGCGTACCAGCTCTGCGTCCCCTGGTCCCGGCACTTTGGTGTCTCTTCAGTTTGGCCTTTTGCACTTCCAACTGGTCCAGTTTCATGAGCACATCTCTCCTCTGGGCCAAAAGTTGGGCCAGATCAATGTCGCTCTCTCGTCCTGACTCGGCCATCATTGTGATGGAGCTCCTGGGGATAGGGATGGCGCTGGGGTTGTCCAGAGCGTTGGCGGCCGTCTTGGAAATGGTGGGGCGCGCAATTCGTTTGTATTCCTTCATGGCCACGACTTCTCCGTCGTCTTTGACGTCGTGTTGCTTCATGCAGTTGATACAAAAGCCCAATTTGAAAGGATTGGGCTGAAACTCAGTACACAAACTCTCCTCGTCCGGGTCGTCCACAGGTTCCCCCCATCGCGCGTGGATTACGGACGGAGAGTTAATGGGACTGCCCAGGATACAGTCGGCGTCGAAAGGCTGCAGTTCAATGGGGTCTCCAGCCAGGTATCCAGGGTCCTCATACGAGTGGTAAATGGGCGTTGGGTCTTCCTCGGGCATCGGCATGGGGCGGCGGCCGGTCTCTGTGCGACTGCGATGAACGCGCGACCTGTTAAGCGGATTGGGCTCATCGAACGACGGCGCGCGTGGCGGGCGAGTTGCGCTGGCGGCGTGACGGCGAGGCGCATGGAAGCGCTCGGATAAAGACTGGCGCCTGGGGAGTTACAGTGATTGAGTAAGTGATAGCGTTAGAAATGAGGTCGAACCAGAGGCAACGCTGAAAAATACGCACTTCTTGCGACGACGACGTGCCGCCTTGTCCTTGTTGGCGGGAGGGGAAGGCGCCTCTAGTAACGTGTCGAGATCCACGCTCTCCACATTGGGAGCAGACCATCGGCCACGTTCGTGTTCTCGATCGCGGTCAATGCGTCGGCTGGGAATAGGAAGCTTGGTATTAGTGCCGAGTGATCAAGCGACAGGGACGCTAGGCAAGAGCTCACCTTTGCAGAATTACACCGTGTTCACTCAAGACGACTTGCGACTGGTCGGTTGGAGACACAAAAAAGAATGGCAACAGGTTAGTCTGCACTTTCAAGTCGCCCTCCCTCTCTCCCTAGCGTTAAAGCTTGTTTACCTCGCTGTTGCGTGTACACGAGTTTCCCATGGTCCGGCGGAGGCGGCCTGCGAGTGTTTGTAGGCTGCTGTATCTCGGTGGTAAGGCCTGCTACCTTGCTTTGCTTCTCGACTCGCCGGCGAGGCGTGCACTGCGGTGATGGCGAGAGAGCAAGGGTGAGCACGCCTCCGGATTCGGGCAGTCTGGACTGGAAATGCAGGAAGCGAAAAAAAGCTCCCCCTTTCGCTTCTGTAGCCCACGCCTTACTCACGCAGTAACACTTGGACCCAGTATGCCGAGTCCCCAATCAAGGGAAAACTATGGCCTGTCTGCTGCTCCCTCCGAGAGAGGCAGTCTGCGCGCGAATCGGATTTTTGGCTTGGTGTTTGTATCGAATAGAAACACGATTACTGTATCATCTCTGTGCGCGAGGAGAGGCAGAGATTGACTTGGTGATTGTAGGTATTAGAAACGTCACGAGCTATGAAAAGGGGCAAAGTACGAGCTAAAGTGTTGTCTCAAACTGAATGTGAATCTCTTCTTGTAAATAAGTACATGTACATTGTAAGGCATCACTCTACTCTGCTGTAAAGTCACATTATTTGCTTTGGCACCTCCAAGCCATTATATTAATTGCTTTCAGGAAAAACCATGTCCAGTACTCATTTTCCGTCCCAACAATCGATACCCCATTCTAGATCTTAGAAATACTAGGAAAACGGAGTTTGCAAACGTGCTGATACTAAATTACATGGGCCCGTCTAAGCACCAATTTAGCACCTTTATCCGCCGTGAAAACCCTTCTTATTATTGAGCGTTTTAAATAATTTCCGATACTTCTCGCTAGAAGCTCAAAAATAAAGTTGTATGTTCATTAGCCGACACCCTGGTTGTGTAAGCGAGCCATATTGCAATGATGTCATGGCTACATTAGTGTCGACAGAGCGCTTATATATAATCCCCCAAACAAATATCAGCTTACAGTACAGTGAGACCTGTCACTAAAACAAGTTGTATTTGAAGATTACCGGTATTTATTACGCTTCCGTCTGTATATTTGGATTTACACTGTTCCGCTCGGTCACGATACGATGCACAGATGGCTGCAAGCATTGTATTTGACGACCTTTCGCTCTATTTAAAAAGCCGCCAGATCTAGCCAAATGAGGACAAACGTAGCCACACTGCGTGGTCATGAAAGTGTTTCGTAGTCCAGTGCGGCTCGCGCTGCTATCAGTTGGAGGGCGGGGTTGGTGGCATACTGTGAGAGCCGAGGACCGAGTTATTTTAGCCTCGAAATTGCATTGTGCCCGGTAGCCACCTCATTAAAGCGTTGAAGGGTGGGTACACTGTCTTTTCAAAGAACGGCCACGATGAAATCTATTTCTACCATGTTTCTAAATTGCTGGTGCCAGCTCAACACACAGCCATTTGCGATCTGCGACTTGTGCAGGCGCCGTCTCGGTGGTGCTATCGTCGGCCGCTGTGTCTGCGGCAGGAAAGTGCCAGTTGTCACCGACGCGTTGCGGTCGTGCCGAGTACGGAAGCGGCTCGTCGACCGTCACACGACTGCCGTACACTTGATAATGAACCTGGTGGCGCTCCTTCCAGCGGCGGAAAGCTCGGTTGTGGATCATTTGGAAGTGGTGATCGCGCATCTCGTCGTTGGAGATCAAAAGTGTGCGGCCACCGAGTTTTACCGCAGCATAGAGCCAGTACCAGTCGTCATTGTTGCCGTACTGGCAGTTAAACATCTTGTGGCTCGCTTGCCACTCCGCAATCTGCGCGCGATGCTCGGCCGGCACTTCCTCGTCGGAGGTGCGGCGTTCGTGTAGCACGACCAACACCTTCTTGTCCTGCGCCTCGTAGTGCTGCACCATGAGCTCAATCTGAGCGTAGTTGAAGCCACCACTGCAAGACAGTCATTCGGACCAAATGCCCCCATCAAGTTAGTCGGTCAAGGTCTTGCACAGCGCACGAAAAGGTCGTGCAAGGTGTTACAAACACACGAGTGTTACGTCAATGATACGCACCCCTCGAAATTCTGGTTGCAATAGCCCACGTTGGCGGCATCGATGACCACATCATAAGGCCCAAACTCCTCCAGCCACTGCTTAAACTCGTCCCATTGCGTCATGCGCTTCTCGTCCGTGCGCACGAGGTTCTCGATCTGACTCGCCGAACGGATCAAAAGGCGTCAGATATCAGTCGCAAACGGCGCACATGGCATCGCTGCCCAGCAATTTCAACTCACCTTCGCCAGCAACTCGGCCGTCGACTTCGCTGACAGCTCCACTGACTGCAACTGGTCACCTGTCACGAAGCACACGCCTTCTCTGCTCACAGAGCCCTCAGTAATTTTCCACGTGCGGCCGTTCATCCGAGCTGCCTCGCTGCAACGAGACCATATCAGACACGATGATGTTAAACCACCATAGCTACCACATCGGCAGCCAAGCAGCCAAAGCTCATCATAAGCAACAACGCACCTGTTGAACCATTCCTTTAGCACGTCCCACGTCGACAGACTGGGTTGCCAGATCTCATCAATGAAGCTGTCCAGGAACGCGTAGAACCGCTCGCCGCTGCCAGCCTTCACGCTCGCACGTAGCAACGCCACATAGTCGTCCTCTGTGAGTTCCAATTCATGTGAGAGCAGCTTCTCGTGCACCCCGATGCACTTGTCCAAGTTGCCTGCGTCACTGAGCGCTTGCAGCAGGGGACTGAACGTGCGCAGTTTAGGATCCACTTTTGCGACCTCCATCTCGGTAATGATTATTTCGCACGTGTCAAAGTCCTGTGCCTTGCTGCAGAGCTTGATCATGGCGCTATACATGGGTTCGCTCGAGTCCGATTTCTTCTTCTGCTTGGAGGCGGCGCTGGCCTGCTTCATGTCCTGGTACACGTTGTAGGCTCCGTTCTTAAACGCCGCTGGGTCGTCAGCCTTGCTACACACATTGATGACCACGCTGTAGATGTACGGGGCCACGTTTACACCCTCGCGCTTCATCTGTTCGTACACTTCCAGCGCACGAGTGGCATCGTTCTCCTGGGCGCATTTCTGCACTTGAATACGGTACTGGTACTCAAGCTTCTCCGCCGGCGTCTACGGATAGCAAATTGAGACGGGTGAGAACAGTTCGCTTGGTTTGAGGAAAGGAAGGGATCATTGATGAACCTGCTTGCGCTCGCGTCGACGCTGCGTTTTAGTCAGTTTGCGCTCTGCAATTTATTAACATCGAAATGTAGAGAGATAAGTATCGCTAACATGCGTATAAAGAGTATGGTGGTTGAGTGCACCTGGCTCGGAGCCATCGGCCGCCAGTGCGACCTCTGCGGGACGTTTACTCCCAGCAAGGCTGGCCATTCGAGTCAACAAATTCTTACAGAATTTTATGACGATTATTGCATTAGTTTTATTTAAAATAGAAATTAAAAATAACATTAATTTGTTTTTTAATTTTCAACGCACTCAAACAACATACCAAGAGTTCTGACTTGATTTTTGTAAGTGAGGGCTTTGAAAGGTTTGCTTTACCGCACAGAATATTCAAGTTTGCGCAGTGGGTATCGATTCAATACAAAATTCAAGTGAGTAGGTCTTATTTTCCTACCAATGTGTATAATTTTTACAGGTTTCATTCCGCGGAAAAGGTTCGCACACTTCGGCACATTCTCAACCGGGCTCGTGCGGCCGCATGCAAATTTTGATTGGCATGTGGGCGTAACCCTACGTCTCTGACGCATGCGTCGGCAAACAAAAAAAGACGCTCGTGCGGCGGTTTGGCCGCATGCGTCGGCAAACAAAAAAAGACGCTCGTGCGGCGGTTTGGCCGCATGCGTCGAATTGGCCGCACGACACGCAATAGGGGACGCACGGAGACCACCAATGAGAATGCCATATTTCTTCGATTCTTGCCGCATGGCAAACTTCAACAGCATCACTTCAACATTGAGGATCAAGATGCCAGGTCCACCACGTTTTGAGAGTAACATGCTCCTGGTGCTGAAGATGACGAGTTCTGCACTGTAGTTTTACCGGCTATCGCAATGGTTTTTAGCTGAGCAAGAAGTATCTGGCAGTGAAATCGTAGTTATTCGTGAGCGTCTCAACTGGAAATCGCATGTAGAACGCATACTTTTGGAGGAGAGTTCAAGCAGTATTACAGAATGATTATCTCAGGCTTCGAGCGTTTGCTCACGACTATTGGGGGGCGCTAGCAGTTGAAGTGTGGTGTAGTGATTTCTCCAGAGTTGCGGATAATTTCCCGTCGACAAAGATGCGGCACCGCCCAAGATGTTTAAGCGACGAACCCTTGGTCACGTGACGTACGGTGACTCCTAGGTGCAAGAGACTCGACGGCGTCACTACCGAACACTCAGCAAATATTGGATACGGTCCAGATGTCACTCAACCCAGGCTGTCCTTATTATTAAAAATGGACTGGCCGGATTCGAATTTAGCGGCCAAGAGCTGACGATCTACGGTACGAACCCTCGGTGGCGGTTGGGATAAGTTCGCGGAAGACTCAGCGACTCTTTGAAGACACGTTCACCGCCTGGGACAGTGCGCGAGCCTTTAAGATGCTCATGCGACGGTGCAGACGACGCTAGGCGTGCAAGAAGATCCATAACGGATCATTGTTCACTTGATATTTGTATACTTGATTAGGACTTCTTATTAGGAATAGACCCGAAAGGGCAAACATAAATACAGAACAGAAATTCCACTCAAGCACACAAAGCGACGTCCGGCTTCAAGGTAAGCGTCTGGCCAAGCTTGTTTGAGTGTGTTATGCCTGTCGGTGAACTCGAAGCTCTGTAGCGAGGGTTCATCCGGCAAGGCCAAGAGACTGTGTGTTTTGGCCGATTACTATCGGGAGGTTTTACGTGACGGCTTATTGCTGCCAATTTGCACGACTGGGAGTGCTTGTTTTGCATCCCTTTAGTAGTGGAGCTGCTAGATGCAGTTACACGTGATATAATTGTTCGTTATATCGAGGAGAACGACTTTCGACGGCCTGTGCACAATATTACTCGTAGAATTGCAATGGATAAAGAACCGTAAGTGAATATATTCATGCATTAAAGCTAAAAGCAATAAATGTAGGGTGGTTCGCTCAGAAGCTTTGCTTGGTCACCTCTAAAGTCCACTGAGCTTCTCCATCAGAGATCGTCTCTGCGTAAGCATAAAATCGCGATCTTCCTCGAGTCGTGTCATTGCTTCGTCTCCGGCGTCTGCTAAAGCAGCGTCCAGCTCAGCCAACTGATGCCGGTTGTCGCCCAGCATCGATAGGATGCTAGAATGCTCCTTCAAAACTGCCGATACCGACGTACTAGCTTGCTCCCCCTCAATGCGACGATCCTTCGCATAGGCTGCAAAGGAACCTGCAAAAGACTCCATGTACTCGGTACTTCGTTTTGATTTAAAGGTGCTGTGCTGGATGCTTCTGTCTGCTTGCTATCAATGTCGCCGTTCAGTGTGTCCACCTCTTGACCCGGTAGCAAGCCGCCTGTGACAAAGTTTGTGAGTCCGTTTTTCACCTGCAACAACGGTCCGTGATATACTGAATTGCAGGTGTTATTGATGCTCAACTCACCCTCAGCCGTTCGTGCAAGTACAGCACGTATCCACACCCGTTGACATAGTTTCCGAAGTCACTATCGTGCTGACCAGAGGTTGTAAATCTCCCCATGGCGAGCCTATAGCTTGAGTCAGCATCCTTCTACATATCGAACAGTTTCTTTGCAGAATGAGGCTTGAATACAGAAGGGGTAATGCCTTCAAACAAATAGTGTGTCATGAATAATTCGTTCACCTCGTGTTCCTCCGGGTATTCCTGCACGAAAGCGGCTCGAACGTCCTGCCTGAAATTGCTCCGATCGTTGATGGCTCGAGTGTCAAGATCTGCTCGCGGTGCTTTGTTCCCAGACTGGCTGAAGCGAACAGCAAGCTGATCAAAGAAAACAATATTCAGCAATCGATACATGCAGTGCTTCGTTCGTGAGCCGACCTTTCTCTTCTTTGACCCCTTCCCATCTCCAAGAACAACATTGCCAAAGAATTTGGCAGCAAGATCAATACGTACGCGAATCTCCACCCGCTCTCCCTTTTTCATCCTCGACTTCAGCTTTAGATCTTTGGCTGTACACACCTTGCGTATATCGTTAGCGGATAAGGCTTCGTATTTATCTCTAAACGTCGCCCGCGCCTCCTTAATCTTGTCGGGCTCTTCCTCTTCTTTGACGTCTTCGTCCTCTTCGTCGTCGTCATCCGAGGCCTCCAGTAGCATTTGCATGCTTCTTTCCTATCCAAAAGTAGACTCAGACTCCAAGGAAGTAACTTTCTGCATTGAAACGGGGTGCTCGACTTCCAATCGTTGATACGATGCATGATGTGGGTGTTGCCAGGGCGAAAAGCCGGCTTGGCTCACGTGGGAGGGGGGGGGGGGTCGGTGGTCAATCATGGAAAACCTTGAAAGCTCTGAACGTCGCTCGGGAGGGGTTCTTTATCTGACGGAAAGCTGTAGCCAGACATACTGCGCACACAAAGTTAGTCGGTGCCAGTAGATATTAAGCTCTCAAACACTAACCTGGAGTCGTTCTTTGCACCGCTACTCGTTTTACGAAGTGAAGTCGGCGGCTCGATACCCCAGGTAGCTTCTCGAGTGGTTTTGCCGCTTAAGATATTCCAGGTGGTTTCTCTAGTGGTTAGGCTTTTCCAACGGCAGCATGGTGCATAGTTGTGCGATGCGGTGCGGTGCGGCCATGCCGGTTGAGAATGGGCCTCAGTGTACTAAACCAAGAAAATTCACTTTTTCCAAGAGCTTTTCATCAAGAGGCAATGCTGGGAGTAGCTCGCCTTCTTTACCTTGACCACACCAAACGTAAGTATTGTGGTGTGGGTGCAGAGATCTGATGGTTTGAAGCGGGCACCAGGAAAATAGAACTAATCGAAGCGTTGTGTCGCATGGAAATAGAATTGGCTGTTGTGACTGTATCACAAGACAATCGTCGCGTTCACGGACCAGAACCACCACATACGAATTCTGTGAATGTACGACGTTTGGATCTGCAGCGGTTACTGATAATTAAATGCTGTTGTTTCCTTACTAAATGTGCACTATAGTCGGAGAAATGACGAGGTGGTGGCCGTAGTTGAGGCGATGAAGACCGATCATTTTTGTTTTTGTTGTATGTGTCTTGACGCCGGTGCATTTATGTATTGTTGTGATGCTATGTAGGTGCGTACTTGGGGTGCTCTAGTCACCACCCAAGCGAGAAGGTTATTTTTTACGCATCTGGTGGGGTGTCTAGCAGGACGGGCAGCTAGGTTTTTCGACAACTTTTGTGTATAGGTAGTAGCGATAGGTATGTACCTGCGGGTACTTTCATTTCATAGCTGAGCAAGGTTCACCCACACCAGCTCACTCTTAGCCACGGTTGTGAAGTATTAATATGCCCTGAAGTAATATCATGAATGTGTGCATGCAGTGTTGCATATACGTGGAGGAAGGGGAAATCGCTACAGTGCTCTCACAGCAAGGTCCAAAGTTGCAGTAAACGTTTACTGGAACGTAATATAAGATATCGATATTTTAACTAGCAAAGCGTAGTCTTGCGACTGCATTACCAACCCAACTCTCTTGTTCTTCTAGGTGCAATTGGCGACAAGTCGCGTACAACGAAAACGATTTTAAGAACGATAAAAAGTCGCTCCAAAAATACGCAACGAAATTCTAGATGACGCTTACAGTAAGCGGCTTCCACCGTGAGTCCAGGCGTAGGACAAAATAAAGGACCAAAAGTCCCTTGCATTCTTGTGACAACGCTGCTGGAAATAGCAAGCTTTTGTGGTTATGAAGGCACATATATGCCTTTCTTCTATCCTAAGGATGACCAACATGGTGTCATACTACCTGTACGTCTTCAAAGACGTAGTGGCAGCTCCAAAAGTGTATCTAATAGCATAGCATATTATCATTTTTATCCTATTAGGTAGGAGAAAAAAACGGGTTTATTTTAGAGCGCCTATCAGAAGCATTGATTTTATAAGGCCCTCATAATTCTCCACTCCAAATATGAAGTCATTTTTGTCCTACCGCGGGGCGTGCTAGGACAAAGGACGTTATATATGCCACATACTCATTGAGTTTTGTCCTACCTTCCAGGACAAATTTGACTGAGGTTAAGTCAGCAGAAACGTTCGGCCAGAAAGTGAGCGAAACGAAATGCGCAATCTCCCAGACGATGCTTAAAGCGACACTCTGTAGATGGCCTTGGCTTAGATGAAGAAAGGGCAAGGCGACGCTCCCCTGGTCGCATAGGAAGGTAATTCTGCGCCGAAGCAGCTCCAGCCGGCACGCG